ATTTCTCTTTGATTGTTGATCGTATGTGCTTCAATTGTGATGATTCAGCAAATTTATCAACACTATCAATGTATTGAGTTAGTTCAGTTTGTGCATTTGAAAGGTAAGTGTCTGTTAAGTGTTTAAGTACACCACAACTGAAGAAATCATAATAATTTTTAAGAGAATCAAATAATTCATCAACATTGCTATATTTCAAAGTGGAAACTGGTATATCTAAATAAGCAGCTGCACTCCTAGCTACAGCTTTAAGTTTCACTTTACCATTTTCCACCAGCTCCTCAAACTCTTCTCTCAGTTTAGAATCAAGAGATGCAAAACGAGAATTTAGACTTCCAATATTGGCAGCAACTTCATCCTTTGAACTGAGCTCAATGACAGTACTAGGACTAGATGATTGTGATCCAGTGATTGTTGGTTGTGGTGTGTGAGATTGTGCAGTGACATCCACTGGTTGAAGTGGTCTCTCACTGACTGATGGTTGCTTCACAGAAATGTTTTCTGGTGCTGATTCTACTTTAGGTGGTGCTGTTGTTCGTACTGGTGGAGATGGTAACCTCAATATTTTAACTGATCAAGCTATAAATGCAATTAACAATTTAAACACACAGAGAATAGACAGATATTAACTTACTCTCTTGATCTAACTTGTCAGCTGCAGCATTCTCATTCATAGATTTAAGAGCATCTGACAGTGAGTCAAAGGTAGCTCCTCCTTTACTGTCAACATTATCAGCTTTACGTAACCACTTGGAGAGAAATTCTATGAAACATCGAGATACATCACCAGGATGATTCTTTTCAATGGCGTCTAGTGTGTTATTGTGTAGTCCTAGTCTCAGTCCCAGCTCATGCCATCTTGTCTGAGGGAAATCACATCTCTTTAACAGGTAAAGTACATCAATAAGTTGATCTATAAAACATAATATATAAATATACTACAGACTACAGTTAATGGATTATTACGAATAGTCAATGGAGAAGTGAAGAGAGAAGGAGAACTGCTGCTGCTTTTGGTAGCCATTGCGTTTGCAAGAAGATCAGGGTGGGGCTGGTTAATTATAAAAACAAGGTGTGGCAAATGACGTCATTGTAAACTAATCAAAATGGCGGCCGTTAGGGTAGAGCTAACTTGTGATACATATCTTTGCTGCCTCACTCACGCCATGTCCACTGAAAGAGAAGAAGTGATGGGTCTATTACTAGGAGAAGTGAGAGGAAGACCCTCCATTATTATTAGTATAGTCTGTCCGTATGTATTGCAGATAATAGAAGAAGGAGAAGTTGCTGTAGTTCAAGTGTTTTCACTGTACATGATGAGGAGACTTGATAAACAACCTGACAG